TTTTTTTTTTTTTGTATAGAAATAAGCTCAAACAAGGGCTTATTTTATTTACAAGGGTAGACTATATTCTTTCGAATATGTAGTTGTCGTCTTTTACGGGTAGTTTCTAAAGACACAACACACACTTGTAGTTATATATTAACTTTTCTATAAATAAAAATTAAGCATTAGCATTCAAAAAAAAAAAAAAAGTAGAATGAAAAATAAATGTCCACCATATATAAATTTGTAATTTTCTAATAGATTGATTCAACGGTTTGGTAGAAAATCAAGTCCCTTTAAGAGGATAAGATCTGATCTAGATGTGTCCCTTTAACATTTTATGGCATTTCTAGTTAAAATCAAAATATATTTTTCTCTCTTCTTTTCAACCACACATTCTCCAATAAAATAATATTATACGTAAATTTAAAACTTTTCCTTCTTTTTTAACCACACATTCTTCAAAAAATTACTATTTCAAAATTCATTTTTCCCAAAATTTGATTTTAATGGAGCCCAAACAAAGGCTATATGTCACAAAAATGTTAAAAAATTAAAATAAGAATTATTTTAACCTTTTAATATAATGACATTATCGTAATCTTATTTTGCCATTTTTGTTTCTCAAGTTTCACATACCAGTTATATGGAACATTTTTTTATGATGTAACTGTCAATTATGCCCCTATTTGATAACTATTTTTTTCAAATTCTTTTTTTTTAATACTCATTTTTAATCACATTCACGCAATAAAATATTTTATATGCAAACTCAAAATTTTTCCTACTTTTTGACCGCACATTTTCTTAAAAATCATTATTCAAAACTCTATTTTTTACAAAAAAAAAAAAAAAATTGTCAAATAGGGGCTAAATAGTTTTTGTCATTATGATGAACATGTAGAATGTGAAACTATGATAAAATTTGAAACTAAAATTATAATTTGATGATGAAATTGAGATAATATAAAGTTAGTTACAGTATGGGCAAAATCGAGGTGATTGATGGAAGAATGTCTGCTTAAAAAGTAATGAGAATATTTGAGTTTATGTGTAATATTATTTTATTGATAGAATGTATGGTTGAAATGAAGAAAGAGAAAAAAAATGAGAAATAGAATGAGAAGAAAATGGGTGGAGGGCTTATCAACTATGGAAGTACTATATGTACACAATAGTTTATACAATCTTTTACACTCTCTTATATGGAGTGAGGCCACATACAATAAAATATTTGTGGGCTCCCTCTATGTGTGAGGGTGTAAAAGATTGTTTACACGACAGGGTATACACATGGAATAATCCTATCAGCTAAATGCACCATATATCGATGATTACTGTAAACGTACCTAACCAATAGTGCATACAAGAATTCAGAAAGCAATGGGTAAATTTCCTACCTCCTCCGCCACCGCCGGGTTTAAGCTGGTGGGCTACAACAACTTCGTGCGTACCAATCCCAGGTCAGATTTCTTCTCAGTGAAGCGCTTTCACCATGTAGAATTCTGGTGTGGCGATGCCACCAACACCTCCAAGCGCTTCTCGTGGGGTCTCGGTATGCCACTTGTCGCCAAATCTGACCTCTCCACTGGAAACTCCGTCCACGCCTCCTATCTCCTCCGCGCCGGAAACCTCCAATTCCTTTTCACTGCCCCTTACTCTGCCTCCATCTCCGCTCCTTCCTCCGCCGCAATTCCCAGCTTCTCTGCCTCCAACCACCACTCTTTCACCTCAACACACGGGCTTGCCGTCCGGGCCATAGGCATTGAGGTTCAAGATGCCTTCTCCGCCTTTTCCATGGCGGTTTCTCGTGGCGCCAAGCCGATTTCGCCGCCAGTTGTGCTTGGGAACAATGAAATCGCCCTGGCCGAGGTTCATTTGTACGGTGACGTGGTTCTACGTCTAGTGAGTTATTCAAATTCAATAGAGACGGGTCCTGATTGTTTTTTACCAGGATTCGAGCCTGTGAACCATGAAATGTCTTATCAGGAATTGGATTATGGGATCAGGAGGCTCGATCATGCTGTAGGGAATGTGCCTGAGCTCGGGCCTTGCGTTGAGTACATAAAAACGTTCAGTGGATTCCATGAATTTGCAGAATTTACGGCTGAGGATGTGGGGACTGCAGATAGCGGACTGAACTCGATGGTTCTAGCTAATAACGATGAGACTGTGTTATTGCCTTTGAATGAACCTATACATGGAACTAAAAGGAAGAGCCAGATACAGACTTATTTGGAGCACAATGAAGGGGCAGGGGTGCAGCATTTGGCATTGGTATCTGAGGATATATTTAGGACATTGAAGGAGATGAGGAAGAGGAGTGGGGTCGGGGGGTTCGAGTTTATGCCTTCGCCACCACCAACTTATTATAAGAATTTGAAGAGCCGGGTTGGGGATGTCCTGACTGATGAGCAGATTAAGGAATGCGAGGAATTGGGGATTTTGGTTGACAGGGATGATCAAGGGACTTTGCTCCAGATTTTCACCAAGCCTGTGGGTGACAGGTATGTCTTGCAATTTTTTGTGATATTTTATCCCTTATTTTGGCTATAATTGTTGACATTTTTCTGATTCACTCTTCGATTGTTTACTCTGTTGCATTTACTCATCTCCGACATTGCTAAATTTTTATCTAATAGCTGAAGTTCCTCATACACCAAAAAGGGAAATGGTTAATAATTTGCTGAATTGCATATTTGCTTCTCATATCTGTTAGATGCTTTGAGTAAAAAGTGTGGTCTTTTCTGTTGCTGGCCAGCGTGTGTCCTAAATGTGATGTTATGACTCTTAAAATAGTCATTTTCTTGAAGGTTCATATGATTCTTAGGACATGTTTGATACAGAGCATGGAACACCGCACATGGCCATGAACAAAATTTTAACTCCTTAATCCTATCTAGCACTGCCCACTCCCAAACATGACATTATGTATATTGCTTGTCTGGTTAACATCATCCAATATCAATACTTCGGTTTCTTATTGGAATTTGGTCTGTTAATTTTTGGTTAAATGGTATCAGCCCAGATCTAAATTGTGTCTCTAGCTGCTATAAACCTACTTTTCTCAATTAGTGTTCAAATTCGATACAGCATGGTTAAATGACAAATTTAGATGTACGTATTGTCAATTCTCCACTAACAAAACAAATGAAATATTTATTTA